AAAAAATTTTTAATGGTGGTAAAGTACACACAACATAAGGTTTACCATATTAACCATTTTTAAGTGCACAGCTCAGTGGCATTAAGTACATTCACATTGTTGTGCAACCATCCCCACCATCCGTGTCCAGAACTTTTCATCTTGCAAAACTGGAACTCTGTACCCATTAAACAACAACTCCCCACACTCTCCTCCCTCCCGTCCACGGCAACCACCATGCTACTTTTTGTCTCTATGGATTTGAGTACTCGAGGTCCCTCATATTAGAGGAATCATACGGTATTTGTCCTTTTGTGTCTGGCTCATTTCCCCTAGCATAATTTCCTCAAGGTTCATGTATTGTAGCATGTGTCAGAATTTCTTTCCTTTTTAAGCCTGGATAATATTCCATTGTATGGATAGACCACATTTTATTTATCCATTCATCTGTCCACGGACACTTGGGTTGCTTCCACCTTTTGGCTGTTGCGAATAATGCTGTAACTATGGGAGTACAAATACCTGTTCATGGGCTGTTTTCAATTGTTTTGGGTATATACCCAGAAGTGGAATTGCCGTCCTCATTTTTCTTAATTACAAACGACATAAGTATGTTGGGAAGAGAAAGTCAAGATGGACAGGCGGTCTGTTGGATGTTTACCTCCAGTTTGATAACCCAACTGAAGACCTCTCATTTAAAAATGGAGAAAGGAATTTTTACCTTCTCAGATTCATATCAGGTCCCACTCACTGAAGTAATTTAAAACACACCTTGTTTCTCTGGTAAGTGTTTATGCTGTGTGTATGTCAGAATTTGCACCCAGCAGGGTACCATAATCTTACTAGGCACATTCCATACTCACATCACAGGTGGGTCATGGAATTTCATCACTGAGAAACTAACACCCCTTCACTGTACTTTCACACAATCTCTTGTCTTAGGTTTATGTAAAAGATCGAGTGCCATTCAAATGAGAGAACAAAACCCAATGGTGATGAAAAAAATAAGCACTTAAAGTATCCAAAGTGGGTTAAATAAAAAATAGACCAGCAACTCAAAAGGGAATAAGAAACAACTAGCAATTCACAAACTTCCAGAGTCAATAAACACATGAAAGTGTGCTCATTTGCATGAATAATCAAAGAAATGGAAATTAAAACTGAGGTTTTTATTCTTCACCTCTCAGAATGGTAGATAAAGAGATTGGTATTATAAAGGTTTGGTGAGGCTGTAGGAAAACAAATATCGAGGGTGGGAATGAAAATAAGTGCAACATTTTTCTTTTCTTTTGAGGAAGATTAGCCCTGAGCTAACTGCTGCCAATCCTCCTCTTTTCGCTGAGGAAGACTGGCCCTGAGCTAACATCCATGCCCATCTTCCTCTACTTTATATGTGGGACGCCTACCACAGCACGGCGTGCCAAGCGGTGCCATGTCTGCACCCAGGATCTGAACCGGCGAACCCCAGGCCACCGAGCACTTAACCACTGCGCCACTGGGCTGGTCCCAAGTGCAACATTTTTGAAGCAGAATTTGTCAAAAACCTATGACTCAGCACGTACGCTTTTAGGAAAATGTATTTCTGGGGCATTTCACCAGTCCATAAGAATATACATACAAGTCCATGAGAAAACATGCAGCATCTGTTCTTACAGCAAATAAGTGAAAACACCCACAAGTCCATAGGCATAATGGGTTGAATTATAGCCCCCCAAAAGATAAGTTCAAGTCCTAACCCTTAGGACGTGTGAATGTGACCTTACTTGCAAATAGAGTCTTTCTGGATGTGATTAGTTAAGATGAGGTTATGTATGATGAAGTATGACCTCATCTTAAATAATGGGTGGGCCCTAATTCCAATGACTGGTGTCCGTCTAAGAATTGGAGAGGACACACAGACATACACAGGGAAGAAGGCCATGTGACTATGGAGGCAGAGATTGGAGTGATGAAGCCACAAGCCAAGAAATGCCTGGAGACACCAGAAGATAGGAGAGGCAAGGAAGAATTCTTCTCTAGAGACTTCGGAGGGATTGCAACACTGCTGACATCTTGATTTTGGACATCTGTCCCCAGAACTGTGGGAGAAGGAATTTCTGTTGTTTTAACGCGCCAGGTTTGTGATAATTTGTTACGGCAGAGTTAGGAAATGAACACAATAGGGACTGGTTCAATAAATAATGGTACATACGCTTGACTAAGGATGGGAGCAAGACTTTTAATCTATTCCTTATTATGTTTTGTTTTTTGAACTACGTGAATATAGTTCCTCCCATAAAAATAAAATTTAAACAATAAAAAAAAATCAGTCTATTTCTTTCCCTTTCACCTCATCGTTTGGGTTTTATTTATTGCACTTTAAAACCAAAATAATAGAGGACAGTTATATTGCCTCTTTTTCATAAAATTCTGAACTGGAAAGATCTAAGAGATTACCCAGTGTGGTGGGCAAAATAATGACTCCCAAAGATGTCCAAATCTTATCCCAAGAACCTGTAAATATGTTAGGTTACATGGTAAAGGGGGAAGTAAGGTTGCAGGTTGAATTTAGGTTGCTCATCAGTTGACCTTAAAATAAAGAGATGATTCTGGATGGGTTGGATCAAGGTAATCACAAGGATCCTTAAAAGTTGGAGAGGGAGGCAGAGAAATCAGTGTCAGAGTGACGCAATGTGAGAAAGACTCCACTGGCCATTGCCGCCTTTGGATTTGAAGATGGTGGAAGTGGCCATGAGCCAAGGAAAGCAGGCGGCCTCTAGATATAAGACAATGGATTCACTCCAACAGACAAACAGGAAAGTAGATCTACTCACACTTTGATTTTAGCCCAGTGAGAGCCCAGAATTCAGAGTTCCAGCCTCCAGAAATGTTAATAGAATAAATTTGTGTTGTTTTAAACCACTAAGTTTGTGTTCCCTTGTTACAGCAACAATAGGAAACTCATATACTTTGTCAATCACTCATTCCGCTGACGAAGAAATGGAGATCCAAGAACACCAGAGAGAAGAATCTACACCAGACCCCAGATCTCCCGGTTTATAATGGTGTTTTCACTATCAAATGTGCACAGAAATAACAGATTAGAGAATCAACATCCTTCATGGCAACATGTCAAACACATTTTCATAATCAAATCTCCCTGGAACGTTTAAAATACCATTTGCTCTTTGAAAAATTCAGCTTATTAACATTTCTGGAATATTTCTCATCTTAAAAACAAAAATAAACAGTAAGGACATTCCATAGTCCACTCTTGAACTAACTTTATCAGGATCCACTTTTGCACCCGGCTGAACTGGTTTGACTTCTCTTCCTTGGTAAAACTGGACTGGATTTCTCACTTCAAACCAATTCAGAGCTTTGACTGCCATGCAAATGGACAGTTTCACAAGAAGAAAAAGATATCATGCCGTTCCACATACAGTTAATACACATGTAACAGGACTGCTATACATTTAAACACCTCTTCACTGACAAGAGTAATAAAAACATCACTTCTCGAATTAATGTGATTCTGAACCCTGTTCTATAAGGCACTAAAAAGTGAACTCGAAGCATATGTTGTAAGAAAACTGTATGGGAGAGAAAGAGTCCTTATCAAGTGGCACATGAAGGAAAGTTATTGCTATTTTTAGTAACAGAAAACCAAACATACCTAGAGATGTCAGGTACTCAGGGTGTGTTTTGTTCAAATCAAGACACATGGGAGTCTTATGATATTTAGTTACTTGAGTTATACTTAATATGCAAAATTAGAATAATCCAGTAAGAACAATGATAAGACGTCACTTTGGACTTTAAAACAAATTCCGCGGTGTGGTTGAAAGCGTGCTGGCCTGGAATTCAGAAAATCTGGGTTCAAGTCTGGGTTTTGACATTTCTAGGCTGTGATCAGCTCCCTGAGTCTTAATTCCCAGTTTATGAAAACGAGGATCACGATTCCAGCCTGGCCTCCTCACAGGTGCTTGTGAGGATCAAATGAAATAAGGAGTGTGACAGCAATTCATGGACTGACCCTCAGTGCCAAGGCAGTCTCGCGTATGAGGGAGGACCCAGGAGGAGACAGCTGACGCATGCGGACCATCGGTGCAGATACCCTCACCACGGGAAACTCCTGCCCTCTCTGGCCAAGCGAAGGTGCAGATCCAGGACAAACAAGTAGTTTCTTGTTGAAGTTCATAAGCATGTCAGTTCCTTGCACTGGAAATTGTCCTGCTACTGGCACTGGCCTGACCTTGCCAGTAATAAATTGGGCATCTTCCTCTACTGCCCTGAACTTTCTGTGGTTTCCTCCTTAGGATGATGTCCCCCTCTTATTTTGTATATCAGTTACGATACTTTCACAAGCAAGTGAAAAAAACTCATCTTGAAATGGCTTAACCTATGAAGAGGTGTATCATCTTGCAGAAAAAGAGATCCAGAGAGAGGGTGGTTCCAGTTTGTTAATTAGTGGGCTAGAAGATGACATCTTTCAGCCTGAGCATCCTTGGCTTGTTTTAGTCAGTTTAGTTCCTGTCATGTTTGCAAGATGGTTGCCCTAGGACATCCAGGAGGAGAAGCCAGACCAATTCCTCCTTTTGCCTATCTTTTTTAAAGAAAGAGAACATTTCCCAGAAACCTCCAGATGACTTCCCCATATGTCTCACTGACTGGAAATGGGTGGGTGTCAGGCTTACCCCTAAACTCATTACTGACATGCAGAATGAGGTGACCCTGGCTGGTTTAGAGAATTGGGATTTCCTCCAGTCCCACAGGGGAGGATAGACTCTGGAAGAAAATCGGAGCCATTGGGCTGGCAATTTGTTGACAGCTGTTGGAATTGAAAAATAATCTTTACATGTAAATTCAACTCTTCGTCTACGGTAACCATGTAGATGTTGAAAGGGAAGGTTCGTTATTATCTTTCTCATCTGAGGTGTCTGAGAGACATCGAGAACTTAACTATGTCAGAAATGAAACTGTAACCGACAAAAGGGATCTTCTCGCTGCAAAGACAAGTCAACCATCGAGAGGCAAGGGGGTAGGAGACAAAGGGTCTTTTTATTACAGCTTGCTAGCAAGGGGGGAGATAGTAGACTAGTGTCCCAAAGAACTGTCTTAAAACCACAAAAATTTGCAGCAGTTATACAGGGCAAATGGGCTGAAGGTTGGGGGGCAGAGGTCTTGGAATGTTGACCATCTGGTCTTGTAGTCCTTGAGACTCCAGATCATCCCTTTGTCCCGTCACTGGTGATGGATACCAGCAGAAGTCTTTTTCCCGGAGGTTGTTACATCCCTGGGAAAATTTAGAGAACAAAGTTATTGCCTTATCGGAATAGAGAGGTCTATGTATAAGCCAAGGCTATGAAAATAGCAGAGCACGCATATTTCTGACAAGCAGGTGGACTTATCTAGGCCACATGCAAACTACAGCATTGCTGACAAAGACAGGGGAGGTGTCTTGTGGATCAGGGTCATTTATAGTCCTAACATGGTTCCTCTCTGTAAGATGGCTTCCTTTATGCTAACCTATAACCATTGGCTGTATTTATCTTAGCTATTTAGGCGGCACTAACAAAACTACTCATCTTTCCCCTCATACCGGCTCCACCCACAGTCTTCCAGACCATCTTATTTAATAACGACCTTGTGCATCGTGCCAAAACCCTGGAATCATCCTGGACCCCTCTCCTCTTGCACTCAACGTCCTAACCATCAGAAAATCCTATTGGCATTGCCTTCAAAATATATCCAACTTGGGGCCCAGGAAACCAAGTGTGGCAAGAGTTGGAGGCTGTCCTCCTCTCTGCCTCGGCAGGAAACCCAGCCACACTCCAGTACCAGAGACTACAGAGCATCTGGAGGCAGCCCCCAAGGCATGGAATTGGGGGTCCTCATGAAGGGCAGGAGCAGAGGGAAATTTCTCAGGTGGCTCTGTGGACTACGGATGGGAACAAGAAGCCAGAGCAGAAGAGGAAGAACGAGGCCGTGTGAAGGCTGCAGCTGACATTCTGGTTTGTGGGTACACGTGAGCTGCTACTTTGGGTCTGCCCAGAAATAGCTAAGGACACCTGGGGACGGGAAGAAGCGCTAGTTTCCAATAGAGCCAGTGGGGGCTCGTGCCAGGGGGAAAATGCAAACGGCCTTTATTTTGTGGCTACAGGCTGCTGGGCTCTTTGGCGCTACAGTTGGATAACTCCAAATACATATGATGGGGATGATGTTTTGAAAATATTAAACCACTGCATTTTTGTTGCCCTCTTAAATCGTAGTCCCTGGTAGCCTCCCAACTCCAAGTTTGAGCCATGGGCCTCTCAGTCCCAGGAAAGGAGAGGTTGTTCACTCCTAGAACAAGGAATTAATTGCTTTGAGTTCCGAAGATGATTTTCTTGAGGCCATAGCATGGGGTAACCAGGCATCCTGATTTGCCTGAGACAATCCCATCTCCTCTTGTGGGCTTGGCATTATTATTAATATTAATCCGTTTAACTACCAAAGGTGTCCCTGTTTGGACAACAAATTACAGTTGCCCCTCTTTAGAAGATAATAGTTTGAGGGGCTGGTCTGGTGGCGTAGTGGTTAAGTTTGCACGTTCCACTTCAGTGGCCCAGGGTTCACGGGATCCCTGGTGCGGACCTATGCATTGCTTATCAAGCCATGTTTTGGCAGGCATCCCACATACAAAATAGAGGAAGGCGGGCACAGATGTTAGCTCAGGGCCAGTCTTCCTCAGCAAAAAGAGAAGGATTGGCGGCAGATGTTAGCTCAGGGCTAATCTTCCTCAAAAAAAAAAAAAAAAAAAGAAGATCACAGTGTGAAAAACTTTTGTTGAGAGAAAATGATTTTCTAAGTTCCTTTAGCGTGCATTAACAAATCAAGAGTCAAGCCTTGTAAAAAGATTATAGAATTTTACTTGAAATCGGGGTAGCAAGAAATCAGGGTAGGGGCTGGCCCGGTGGTGCAGCGGTTAAGTGCGCACATTCCGCTTTGGTGGCCCAGGGTTCGCCGGTTTGATCCCAGGTGTGGACATGGCATTGCTTCATGAGCCATGCTGTGGTAGGCATCCCACATACAAAGGAGAGGAAGATGGGCATGGATGTTAGCTCAGGGCCAGTCTTCCTCAGCAAAAAGAGGAGGGTTGGCAGCAGATGTTAGCTCAGAGCTAATCTTCCTCAAATAAAAAAAAAAAGAAAGAAATCAGGGTAGAAGGTAGACCAGTGGTTCTTAAGTGTGGTTAGCAGACCAGCAGCAGCAGCGACATCTCTAGGAACTTGTTAGAAACGCACATTCTCAGGTTCCACCCCAGACCTCCTGAATCAGCAACTCCAAGGATGGGGCTGCGTCATTTGTGCTTTAACAAACCCTCCAGGGGGGTTCTGATGCAGCTAAAGTTTGAGATGCTCTGAGGCGGAGAAAGCAAAACACCTTTTCTTCAATATTGTGGGAAGAAAGGGACAAGGAGAGAGCCGCAGAGGAAGTAAGCGGTATGAGCCACGCAGGTCCTCGCTGCCTCTCTCCCTGTGAGTTCTGAGGGTTGACGGAGAAACAGATGGAAATGGAAGACCTTGCGAACTTTAGGAGCACTGGTGGCACACATACAATAATGGGCAGAGATGGGGAAAAGCTTAGAAGATGCTCCATGTGGAGACATTCCAACACGGCACAGGGACAGGCCAGTTGGGTGTGGACAGAGGTGGCAGCGTAGGGAAGTCTGAGGCACAAAACATGGCCTGTGCCTAGCACCTAGGGCACCCAGAAGTTGCTGTGGATCCCAGTGTTGGGATATAAAAAGGCTGAACTGACGGGTGGACCAGCAGAAGCCTAGGGGCAGCACAAAGAAGAAGGGACTTGGTGACAAGAGGCAAATGGTCAGAACCACACATGACAGGCATGGGACCAGTCACAGTGCAGCTGTCACCAGTCGGGAAACCAACAAGAGCCCTGATGACATCACACGGATGTAAGGCCCCTCCTCCATTGCCACCTGACCTCAGCCAACCAGATGCCCAGGGTCCATCCTGGAGTGGGACAGCAGGAAGGAGAGGACTCAGCACTTATCAGTGACACACCAAATCGTCCACAATCTGAGGAAGGCAGTCTGCAGAAGCACTGTGGGGCTTGGGATGACTAACAACCTCCTCGGGGAAGTGTCTAGCACCTACGATAAAATAATTGAGCGATTTCCTCTTAGACTTTGATGAGATTAAGACCCAACGTTAAGCAGTTAAGATCTACCTGCACTGTCTTGTCATGAGTCACCTCAATTGTTGACCATCAGCTGGTGTTAAACAGATAATCTTTCAACTGACAGCTCTTTTTTGAACCTAATGTTAACAATATTATCTGGTTGGGGCCGGCCCTGTGGTGGCCCAGGGTTTCGCCAGTTCAGATTCTGGGCGCAGACATGGCACCAGCCACGAGGCCATGTGGAGGCGGTGTCCCACATGCCACAACTAGAAGGGCCCACAACTCAAATATACAACTATATAGTAGGGGGATTTGGGAAGAAAAAGCCGAAAAAAAAAAAAAAAAAGACTGGCACCAGTTGTTAGCTCAGGTGCCAATCTTAAAAATAGAAAGAAAGAAAAAAACAATATTATCTGGTCACCTTCACTTCTATCAAAAGTTTTTACCAGAAAGGAATGTCTGAACTTGCTTTATTAGACTCTTTGTTCCTCTGCAGCAAGTTTAAAATAAAACTTTATATGTGCTCATAGCAAATTCATATCTGAGAAAGTTGTTTTAACACCTAAAAGAGACTGAGTTAACCTAACGAAGTGGTTTTCAAAGTGTGGTCCCTGGAGCAGCAGCATTAGTATCACCTAAGAACTCACTAAGATACAAATCCTTCAGCCACACCCCGGGTCTAAAGAATCAGAAACATAGGGGGAGGAAGAGACTTTTGGCTACGGCCATGTGAAAAGGTCAGCAAATCCTCTCCCCAGAAACCAACTATAAAGTTAGATAAAATGGAAAAAAAACAACGATGTCAGTGCTCTGGAAATTGACCAAAGGCATACAACAATCTGAGAAGCGTTTATGCTTGAAAAACTGCTGAACTTTGGGTAAGAACATTGGCTGTCTGACCATTCTTGCCCAGGACCGCTTCCATCTCCTGGAGCCCAGTGGGTGTGGCGGTTCTGCCAGGACAAGGCAGGCCACGAGCACTGGCAGCTACGTGCATGGTTGCAGGGGGCTCACTTGATCTGGTGTGGTGAGTGATGCCCACGTCCAGGGGCACTGTCAGTGGAGGTGATGACAGCCTTGCCTTTCAAGAAATACTATACTTCACACTGAAAGTAAGTGACATCGGAGGGCAATTTAAATGCACAGGAAGAAATGAAAAGCGTTGGAAATGGTAAATATGTGGGTTAATATAAGAGACTCTATAAATATAATTTCCTCATTTCTTCTCTTAACTTCGAGACATGAGTGTATAAAGCAATAATCATAATACTACATTGTTGGGTTTATACCACATTTACATGTAATACATATAACAATAATACAAAGAAGAGGGGAGAGAATTGAGCTAACTTGGAGCAAAGTTTGTATTTTACCAGAATTAAATTAGTATTAATCTCAACTAGGTTTTGAGATGTTAAGATGTTATAATCTACAGAGTAACCACTAATAAAATAAATTTTAAAATAGTAAAAAAAAATTAACAGAGGAATTTAAATGACATACTAAAAAATATTTAACAGAAAAGAAAGCAGTAAAAAAGGAATGGAGAAACAAAGAAGATAGGAGCCACATAGGAAACAAATAGCAAAATGGAAAATGTAAATTCAAACATTATCACATTAAATGTGAATGGTCCAAACATCCCAATCAAAGAACAGAGATGTTGAGCTTAGATAAAAAGGGTAAGATGCAACCATTTGCTGCCTGCAAGAGACACATCTTAGATTCAGAGATACAAATAGGTCAGAAGGAAAAAGATTTACTATGAAAGCAATAACCATAAGAGAGTTGAGGTGGCTATCTGGATATCAGCTAAAAAAGACTTCAAGACAAGAAATATTACTAGAGACAAAGAGATGTTTCTTAATGATAAAAAAGTTATTCTATCAGGAATGTATAACAACTATAAACATGTATGTGTCAAATACAGAGTCTCAAAAACACGAAAAAAACCTGAGAATTAAAAGGAAATGTAGACAATACAGTAATAATAGTTGGAGATTTCAATATCCCACTTTCAATAACTGACAGAAAACTAGACAGAAAATCAGCAAGGATACAGAAGACTTAAACAGTTCTATCACCCCAGGCAGTCTAATTGATACACGT